CAGATAGCGACGCCATCGTCAACTTCGCCGATTGGACACATCCCCCGGATCTCGATCCCGACTTCAGCCCAGGAGGCTTCTGGTACTCGCACACCATACCTGAAGCAGAACGAACACGCGCATTAGCAACGATTCAACAATCGGCAGCAGCAGAGACAACATCGGCAGCAGCAGAAACAACATCAGCAGCAGCAACATCATCGGCAGCAGCAGGACCAACGACACCAATCTCGGTCGACGAAGCACCACCAACACCCGCACAGCAGCTGAACCCGACTCAACGAGAAGTCCACAGAAGCGCACACTTCGTCGCCAACTTCTACTCCAACTCCGACGCGTATCAACGCTCACCCGGACACCGCGCTCCTGAAGACATCTGGCACGCACGCACAGGACATCCAAGCAACACAGTGTTAAATAACACAATTCGAGCAGGATTTCTAGACAAGGACTCGCTACTACTACCCGACGGCAGAGAACTTCAACGTGCACGAGGAACTTGCCTTATCTGCCCCGAAGCCGACTTACCCCATTGACCGTTTTCTTCTCACCTCAACCCAGGCGCACCTACATACAAACCACTCGAGAAAGTATACAGCGACATCCTCTTCAATCGAGAACCAGGACAAGTCACCTACAATTACACGATAACCTTCATCGACGCCGCCACTCGATACGTCTGGAAACCTACCCAGCCGCGACATGGCTCTCGCAGCGTTCGCCGCTTGGCTACCGGTAGTAGAGAGGGAATCAGGAACACAACTGAAAAGCTTTCATTCAGACGGAGGAGGAGAGTACACCTCTCAGCGCTTCAAGCAGTACCTGGCGGAAAGGGGAATCAAGCAACTCCTCTCCCTTCCCTACATACATCAGCAGCAAGGTGTCGCAGAAAGAATAAACAGGACTCTGCAGAACAGCATGCGCAAACTGCTACGTGGCATGCGGCTACCCAACCACCAGTGGCCTGCAGCAATGGACCATGCTGTCATGCTGCACAACTTGCTGTCGTCGTCGTCACTCCCGAATAACGCATCACCGCACCTGCTGTGGACAGGGAAGCAGGGCAGCACAAAAATGTTACGAGTTTTCGGGTGCATGGTACAATACCGACCCCCAGAAGCACGAGCGGGAAGATTTTCACAACGGGTACAGTGTGGACTACACCTCGGCATCGAGAAAAATTACAACGCGTGGAAAATCTTCGACGTCCACTCAAAGGAAACAGTAGCAGCACGTGATGTGATCTTCTACGAGCGACTCACCCTTCAAACGTACCTCGCCAACTTGCACGAGAATCAAAACCCCACAGGTGGCTTTCGTGGTGACCGAGCCTTCGCCTCAGCAGCGGACGAAGCAAACTGGGATGAACAGAATGTCGACAACGCATCGGAAGAAGTCGGACCTCTCCCGTTCTGCTCCGTCAACGTGCCCATGGACGAAGAAAATCCTCGCGACAGTGCCAACGCCGAAGTCTTCTATCACTTCGCCGACAACGGTTACATAACACCTGCGACAGTCAACACAAATGAAGCAGAACGGATAGGGCCAAATTTCATACCCGATCCAGAAGCGGGAGACGAAGCAGCTTATCCCGAGGATCCAACACTCCCCCGATACTCACAGACTGGGCTGCAAATCCTCGGCCTTGTCACCGCAGTGCACGGCAACGCGCTTCCTAAGGAGCCTGCGACGGTTCAGCAGGCTCCGGGGGGGGAACACAGGGAGAAATGGCGTGAAGCCATGGACAGAGAACTCAAGGCATTGGAGGAACGCAACACCTGGAAGGTCGTTCCCGCAAGCGTGGCAAGGAACAAGACTATTCTCACCGGGAAATGGGTCTTCCGCATCAAAACGAAAGCAGACGGCACGATCGAGAAATTCAAAGCACACTGGGTCGTGCGTGGATTCGATCAGGAGCAAGGTCGAGACTTCACCGAGACATTCGCCCTAGTCAGTCGACATACCTCTCTCCGAATCCTTCTTGCCGTCGCCACCATGAAGAAGAAGAAGCTGCGACAAATTGATGTCGCCAATGCATTCCTCTATGCACCCGTCGACGCCGAAATCTTCGTCGAACTCCCACACGGTACCCACGGAAACCCCAATCAGGTCTGTCAGCTACTGAAATCTCTCTACGGAATCAAACAAGCACCGCGGCTGTGGCAACAGCACCTACACACCCGCCTTACTCGCATCGGATTACGTCAACTACCTCACGACCAAGGGATGTACCGACTCACCAAAGACGCAGACTACATCCTGCTGATAGTCTATGTCGACGACTTGCTCTACATCGTCTCCACCGACGACGTCACCACCTGGTTCGAAGGGGAGCTGCAGAAGGACCTCACGCTCACGGTCTCTTCTACCGTCACGCAGTACCTCGGGCTCAACATCCGCGAAGAAGAAAATGCGATCTATCTAAGCGCCGAGAAATACGCCGACACGATCGCCAAGCGTTTTTCGCTCACACCTACCGCTATCGCCACGCCATACCGCTACACGGCAGGAGATGACAAAGGAAATTCCGCTCCACTCAAAGCTGCCGGAATACGAGACTACCAGAGGAAACTGGGCTGCCTCCTCTTCGCAGCCGTCACCTGTCGCCCGGATCTATCCTACTCCGCAAGCCAACTCGCTACCTACCTCAAGAAACCCGTAGCAGAGCACCTGGCGGAGCTCGATCGCGCACTGCACTATTTCGTGAGCACGCCGACGATCGGCCTGACTTACTACAAGAGCGAAGCTACGTCAACGAAACTAATCGGCTACGTCGATGCCGACCATGCCGGCGATTCAGATAACAGGCGCTCTCGCACTGGCTACGTCTATCGTCTAGAGCCTATCGGACCCATCTCCTGGCAGTCGAGTAAGCAGGAACTAATCGCTCTCTTTTCAGCTGAAGCATAATATATCGCCCTCTGCTCAGCCACCAAGGAAGGACTCTACCTTCGCGAACTGCTGGAAGAAGCAAAGTTAGCTGAGTTATCCAACTTCACCCTGTTCTGCGACAACCAATCTGCAATTCGCATCGCCAACAAAAGCGGATTCGCGAACAGAACGAAGCATATCGCTCTGCGATACTTCTTCGTGAAAGACGAGATCGAGAAAGGAAAACTCGAACTATCCTACTGTCCCACGTCCGAGATGGCAGCCGACTACTTGACCAAAAAGCTCGGAAAACAGAAGTTCGAGTACTGCATGCTGCCGACTGGACAAGGCCACGTCACCATCAGCGACACTCCAGAAGCGAAGGGGAGTGTTGGGAACAATAAGTCTTAAGCGCCTCTGTCGTGTCGAAACTCAGGACACAAAGCGAAGAAGTCCAAATCGAAGCATCTCGAGTCAACCCTCGGAGGTTAGGGTAACCGCCTGAAGGTTACGGGAAGGTCAAAAGTCAGCGACCTTTGACTTGACCAATACAGCGCGACAGCAAGGACACAGAACTGACTCGACATTGAGCACTTGCCCGAGTCGCACTGCATCGAATCACAACAGCAAGGTAGTTTAATTACATCTATTCGTATTCCTTGTACTCTTATATAAAGCTTTGTATTTGCCTGTTTTAATCAACTTACTTTGCCCTCACATACCAGCGCAAGGTGGTTCAAGGCTTTCTTATTCAACGCTTCCGCTATTACATCATCCTACTCAAACTTTAACTCTACAAAGATCCTAGGGCACCTCAGCCCAACAAAAATCACCTTCTCACATGAGGCACAGACACGTGACCAAACCAGTCAAGAAGTGACTGGTACAGTAAGAATGCACCACTGTGCGCGATTCTGGCCTCGGCGGTTGCATGAACCCTCGCCACGCAATTGGCTTTGTTTTCAGCCTATCAAGTGCCAGAATTGCCCACTCGAATTTGCCACGTGGCAGATTCCAGTGGGCGGTCACGCTTTCCTCGTATACTCGGTTTTGCGGCACTGGTCAACATTCTTGAAGTGGAGTCAGGCCCCTGATTTTGTTTCACATCTTTTCTACTTGATAAAAAATACACCATATAATAAGACCCGGGTATTATGTAGGATTTTCCTTTGAGGAGACCCCCCCAATTTTTTCCCAGTGGTTTTCATAATACCCTAGGGTGTTTTATCCGGGAGAATACGGTACCAGTGCCTGCATGCCTGCAGTGCAAGAGGGGTTTGCGTAGAGTGAGCATGGAGGCGGGCATGGAAGCAAGTCAGTGCCACCACCTCTGCAGCCAGGCGACAGGACCGTATCGCAGCAAGCAAAGGATAGTTGCAGGGAGGCACGGGCACGGACATTGCATCACAGCATCACAGCCAGCCGCGTTGCATCACAGCATCACAGCCAGCCGCGTTGCAGGCAATGCACTCTGGCCAGTGCTGCCATGTAATCCCCTGACCTGGCATGTCAGAGGAATGATGAGGTGAGAAGGTAAGGAGGTGAAGAGACGAATGGGAGAAGTGGAAAAGAGAAGGAAGAGAAGTGAGCAGGAAAGGAAGACCCGGAGGCAATTAAAGGGAGACACGGGCATCAGGGCCGGTCTCACGGCTAGTGTGTTCTCACGGCTAGTGTGTTCTCACGGCTAGTGTGTTCTCACGGCTAGTGTGTTCTCACGGCTAGTGTGGTCTCACGTAAAGAAATAAAAAACAAGCGAAAGAAGGAAACCCTGTTTACCTGAGCCCATAAGGGGATTGTGCAGCCTCGAGAATGTAACGCCTGCTCTGATCCTGGTCGCCCTGCAGCCCAGCATATTACAGGGGGCGCGAAAGCAATGTCGTGCGAATGAGTGCGATGCAGCAGGTGTGTGTGTATGCTATGCATGGAACAGTGTGTGGTCTAGTTTGAGATTTTACACCCCCAACGATCCCACGTCCCTCTCTCACCCCTCAACCCTGTATCGAGGGGACTCAAGCTGGTTTCAACTCGCTTCCATGGAACAGCGTAAGCATGTGTGTGTGTGTGTGTGTGTGTGTGTGTGTGTGTGTGTGTGTGTGTGTGTGTGTATTCGTGTGTGTGCTACTGACATCTCAAGAGGGTCTCACCTCGCTCTCATGGAACAGACCAACATAGAGATTTGCATAGAACAGTGCAGATGGCCGCCCAAAGTCAGCCGCCGCTGCTGCCAGGATCTGAACATGCAGACAAAAGGGAGGCACGGGAGGAAGTAAGGGGACAGGCGTAAGGATGACGCTTGGAGAGGAGGCTGGGGAAGGAGGCGTAAGGATGACGCTTGGAGACTCGGTTAATGAATCAAGTTTCTGAGATGATCTGAGAGGCCTGACACGGCAGCAGGGAAAATAGGCCGTGAGTTTTGTATCCTCGTTATAGCCTACCTTCTTAGGGTCACCGCCCGTCTGAAAGACGTCCATGGCAGCGCGCATGACAGGCCGAGGGTCCTGCCCCACGAGCAGAAACTGCTGCCTCGCCTGCTGTGCGCCCACCACGCGCGCCTCACTCAAGAAACACCAGATGGCCTGCCTCGCACGCAGCACAGGGGGCAAAGAGGAAACGTGGAGTGAGAATAGTTTTGAGCAGAAATGACATGCCGCAGAGGGCAGAGAAAGGGAGGTTAAGGAGAAAAGGGGAATAACGCTCTCTCTGCCTGTCTGGAAGGTGGCTCTCATTTGGAGCATATACAGTGAGCCTATGCCTGTAAAGGCCGAATGGAACATGAGTCACCGCACTGCACCTCACAACACCGCATCTCACCTGACCTCACTCTCACCACACCACAATGCACCGCACCTCCTCTGTGTCGTTGGGGTTCACCGCCACGTCCTTGCGAAACTGCTCCGCTGCTTCCTGGAATTTTCCAAGGTAGTAGAGTGAAAGGCCTCGCTGCCAAAGGTCTGATGGGGGAGAGAGGGGAGGTGCGGAGGAGGGGAGAGAGGGCAGGTAAGGAGGTGAGGGAGAGAAAGAAAGTAAGAGCCTGAAGAGGGGAAGGTGCGGAGTAGAGGGAGGGCAGGCAGGAGCAGGTCTATACAGGAGCAAAAAGATTTGGTAAGAGGAATGAGCAGGACGGGTGACTGGGACACGCATGGAGGGAGGAGAAGGATGAGCGAAGCAGAGAGGGAAAAGCAAGAAAGGGTACGTCCAGCTGTAGTGCTTCCTGCTACAGCCGGCACAGCACTCACAGCTGTAGCGCTCGGTCAAACTCCACATCGGAGTGGCGCCTCAAACGGCAATCACAAGGCACTCAAACGCCTCAAATGGCAATCACAAGGCACTCAAACGCCTCAAACAGCAATCACAAGGCACTCAGACGCCTCAAACGGTAATCACAAGGCACTCAGACGCCTCAAACGGCAATCACAAGGCACTCAGACGCCTCAAACGGCAATCACAAGGCACTCAGACGCCTCAAACGCCAATCACAAGGCACTCGGACGTCTCAAACGGCAATCACAAGGCACTCAGACGCCTCAAACGGCAATCACAAGGCACTCAGATGCCTCAAACGGCAATCACAAGGCACTCGGACGTCTCAAACGGCAATCACAAGGCACTCAGACGCCTCAAACGGCAATCACAAGGCACTCAGACGCCTCAAACGGCAATCACAAGGCACTCAGACGCCTCAAACGGTAATCACAAGGCACTCAGACGCCTCAAACGGCAATCACAAGGCACTCAGACGCCTCAAACGGCAATCACAAGGCACTCAGATGCCTCAAACGGCAATCACAAGGCACTCGGACGTCTCAAACGGCAATCACAAGGCACTCGGACGCCTCAAACGGTAATCACAAGGCACTCAGACGTCTCAAACGGCAATCACAAGGCACTCAGACGCCTCAAACGGCAATCACAAGGCACTCGGACGCCTCAAACGACAATCACAAGGCACTCAGACGCCTCAAACGGCAATCACAAGGCACTCAGACGCATCAAACGGTAATCACAAGGCACTCAAACGCCTCAAACGGCAATCACAAGGCACTCAGACGCCTCAAACGGCAATCACAAGGCACTCAGACGCCTCAAACGGCAATCACAAGGCACTCAGATGCCTCAAACGGTAATCACAAGGCACTCAAACGCCTCAAACAGCAATCACAAGGCACTCAGACGCCTCAAACGGTAATCACAAGGCACTCAGATGCCTCAAACGGCAATCACAAGGCACTCAGACGCCTCAAACGGCAATCACAAGGCACTCAGACGCCTCAAACGACAATCACAAGGCACTCAGACGCCTCAAACGGCAATCACAAGGCACTCAGACGCATCAAACGGTAATCACAAGGCACTCAAACGCCTCAAACAGCAATCACAAGGCACTCAGACGCCTCAAACGGTAATCACAAGGCACTCAGACGCCTCAAACGGCAATCACAAGGCACTCAGACGCCTCAAACGGCAATCACAAGGCACTCAGACGCCTCAAACGGCAATCACAAGGCACTCGGACGTCTCAAACGGCAATCACAAGGCACTCAGACGCCTCAAACGGCAATCACAAGGCACTCAGACGCCTCAAACGGCAATCACAAGGCACTCAGACGCCTCAAACGGTAATCACAAGGCACTCAGACGCCTCAAACGGCAATCACAAGGCACTCAGACGCCTCAAACGGCAATCACAAGGCACTCAGATGCCTCAAACGGCAATCACAAGGCACTCGGACGTCTCAAACGGCAATCACAAGGCACTCGGACGCCTCAAACGGTAATCACAAGGCACTCAGACGTCTCAAACGGCAATCACAAGGCACTCAGACGCCTCAAACGGCAATCACAAGGCACTCGGACGCCTCAAACGACAATCACAAGGCACTCAGACGCCTCAAACGGCAATCACAAGGCACTCAGACGCATCAAACGGTAATCACAAGGCACTCAGACGCCTCAAACGGCAATCACAAGGCACTCGGACGTCTCAAACGGCAATCACAAGGCACTCGGACGCCTCAAACGGTAATCACAAGGCACTCAGACGTCTCAAACGGCAATCACAAGGCACTCAGACGCCTCAAACGGCAATCACAAGGCACTCGGACGCCTCAAACGACAATCACAAGGCACTCAGACGCCTCAAACGGCAATCACAAGGCACTCAGACGCATCAAACGGTAATCACAAGGCACTCAGACGCCTCAAACGGCAATCACAAGGCACTCAGACGCCTCAAACGGCAATCACAAGGCACTCAGACGCCTCAAACGACAATCACAAGGCACTCGGACACCTCAAACGGCAATCACAAGGCACTCGGACGTCTCAAACGGCAATCACAAGGCACTCAGACGCCTCAAACGGCAATCACAAGGCACTCAGACGCCTCAAACGGCAATCACAAGGCACTCAAACGCCTCAAACGGCAATCACAAGGCACTCAGACGCCTCAAACGGCAATCACAAGGCACTCAGACGCCTCAAACGGCAATCACAAGGCACTCAGATGCCTCAAACGGCAATCACAAGGCACTCAGACGCCTCAAACGGCAATCACAAGGCACTCAGACGCCTCAAACGGCAATCACAAGGCACTCAGACGCCTCAAACGGCAATCACAAGGCACTCAGACGCCTCAAACGGCAATCACAAGGCACTCAGACGCCTCAAACAGCAATCACAAGGCACTCAGACGCCTCAAACGGCAATCACAAGGCACTCAGACACCTCAAACGGCAATCACAAGGCACTCAGACGTCTCAAACGGCAATCACAAGGCACTCAGACGCCTCAAACAGCAATCACAAGGCACTCAGACGCCTCAAACGACAATCACAAGGCACTCAGACGCCTCAAACGGCAATCACAAGGCACTCAGACACCTCAAACGGCAATCACAAGGCATCAGACGCCTCAAACGGCAATCACAAGGCACTCAGACATCTCAAACGGCAATCACAAGGCACTCAGACGCCTCAAACGGCAATCACAAGCCACTCGGACGCCTCAAACGACAATCACAAGGCACTCAGACGCCTCAAACGGCAATCACAAGGCACTCAGACGCATCAAACGCCAATCACTAGGCACTCAGACGCCTCAAACGGCAATCACAAGGCACTCAGACGCCTCAAACGGCAATCACAAGGCACTCAGACGCCTCAAACGACAATCACAAGGCACTCGGACACCTCAAACGGCAATCACAAGGCACTCGGACGTCTCAAACGGCAATCACAAGGCACTCAGACGCCTCAAATGGCAATCACAAGGCACTCGGACGTCTCAAACGGCAATCACAAGGCACTCAGACGCCTCAAACGGCAATCACAAGGCACTCAGACGCCTCAAACGGCAATCACAAGGCACTCAGACGCCTCAAACGGCAATCACAAGGCACTCGGACGCCTCAAACGGCAATCACAAGGCACTCAGACGCCTCAAACGGCAATCACAAGGCACTCAGACGCCTCAAACGGCAATCACAAGGCACTCAGACGCCTCAAACGGCAATCACAAGGCACTCAGACGCCTCAAACGGCAATCACAAGGCACTCAGACGCCTCAAACGCCAATCACAAGGCACTCGGACGTCTCAAACGGCAATCACAAGGCACTCAGACGCCTCAAACGGCAATCACAAGGCACTCAGATGCCTCAAACGGCAATCACAAGGCACTCGGACGTCTCAAACGGCAATCACAAGGCACTCAGACGCCTCAAACGGCAATCACAAGGCACTCAGACACCTCAAACGGCAATCACAAGGCACTCAGACGCCTCAAACGGCAATCACAAGGCACTCAGACGCCTCAAACGGCAATCACAAGGCACTCAGACGCCTCAAACGGCAATCACAAGGCACTCAGACGCCTCAAACGACAATCACAAGGCACTCAGACGCCTCAAACGGCAATCACAAGGCACTCAGACGCCTCAAACGGCAATCACAAGGCACTCAGACGCCTCAAACGGCAATCACAAGGCACTCAGACGCCTCAAACGGCAATCACAAGGCACTCGGACGTCTCAAACGGCAATCAAAAGGCACTCAGATGCCTCAAACGGCAATCACAAGGCACTCAGACGCCTCAAACGGCAATCACAAGGCACTCAGACGCCTCAAACGGCAATCACAAGGCACTCAGACGCCTCAAACGGCAATCACAAGGCACTCAGACGCCTCAAACGGCAATCACAAGGCACTCAGACGCCTCAAACGGCAATCACAAGGCACTCAGACGCCTCAAACGGCAATCACAAGGCACTCAGACGCCTCAAACGGCAATCACAAGGCACTCGGACGCCTCAAACGGCAATCACAAGGCACTCGGACGCCTCAAACGACAATCACAAGGCACTCAGACGCCTCAAACGGCAATCACAAGGCACTCAGACGCATCAAACGGTAATCACAAGGCACTCAGACGCCTCAAACGGCAATCACAAGGCACTCAGACGCCTCAAACGGCAATCACAAGGCACTCAAACGCCTCAAACGGCAATCACAAGGCACTCAGACGCCTCAAACGCCAATCACAAGGCACTCAGACGCCTCAAACGGCAATCAGAAGGCACTCAGACGCCTCAAACGGCAATCACAAGGCACTCAGACGCCTCAAACGGCAATCACAAGGCACTCAGACGCCTCAAACGGCAATCACAAGGCACTCGGACGCCTCAAACGGCAATCACAAGGCACTCGGACGCCTCAAACGACAATCACAAGGCACTCAAACGCCTCAAACAGCAATCACAAGGCACTCAGACGCCTCAAACGCCAATCACAAGGCACTCAGACGCCTCAAACGGCAATCACAAGGCACTCAGACGCCTCAAACGGCAATCACAAGGCACTCAAACGCCTCAAACGGCAATCACAAGGCACTCAGACGCCTCAAACGCCAATCGCAAGGCACTCAGAGGCCTCAAACGGCAATCAGAAGGCACTCAGACGCCTCAAACGGCAATCACAAGGCACTCAGACGCCTCAAACGGCAATCACAAGGCATCAGACGCCTCAAACGGCAATCACAAGGCACTCAGACATCTCAAACGGCAATCACAAGGCACTCAGACGCCTCAAACGGCAATCACAAGGCACTCAGACGCCTCAAACGACAATCACAAGGCACTCAGACGCCTCAAACGGCAATCACAAGGCACTCAGACACCTCAAACGGCAATCACAAGGCACTCAGATGCCTCAAACGGCAATCACAAGGCACTCAGATGCCTCAAACGGCAATCACAAGGCACTCAGACGC